GTTTGCGCCAAGTTAGTCGTCTGTCTAGGTGGTTACCTAAGTACGTTATATTATCTGCTTGTGGTATGGGAATGTTGTTTAGTAAAATTGTTGGAGATGTACTTCGATTTAAGGTAAAAATGACGTGTCTACATTTTACTTCGTTAATTTTAATTCGCCATTTTGACAACCATTTGTCCACCCGATATAAGTGAGATTGAAGTTGGTTTGAAGCTAGCACAGCGTTTCTGTTTCGACATAAAATTGCCGAATCATCGGCAAACGTTGTGGTGATGACTGAGCTACTTATTAGAATATCAGATGTGTAAAGTACATACAAGATAGGGTTAGGAACACTTTCTTGTGGAACACCAGCTTCTATTGGGAAATTATTAAATGTATATGATTTACATTTAATTTTAAATGTAAGGGTAAGAAACAGCGTATCTTATATAGGAGCCCATTATGCCATACTTTGTCAAAGGCTTGTTTAACATCGAGAAATACCGCGGAACAATATTCTCTGAGTTCAAATGCGTGTGTTATTTCGTTCGTTATAAGACTCACTTGCTCAATAGTTCCATGTTTTTTCCTAAAACCAAACTAGTGGGAGTGTATTAGGTTTTGACCGTCAAGGAATGGTTTTACTTTTAAAAGCAGTGCTCTTTCAAAGAGTTTAGAAAGGCATGGCAGTAAGCTTATTGGCCTGTATGAAGAGGCAAGCGTGGGATCTTTACCTGATTTATGAATCATAATGATCATGGATGTTTTCCACTCTGTTGGGTAAAAGCCAAATTTAATAATGGCATTAAAAAGTCTTGTGATAAAATTTATAGCCAGAAGGGGTAAGTTTTTTTATCATGATAGGTGAGATGTTATCATATCCCGGTGTTTTTTTGCAATCTAACTTCTTTGTGATTATTTGAACAAGATCATTGGCCGTGATATTTATGTCGATAGATGGTACATGTGGATCTTGAGTGGGATAGTCATATTGTCCTGTTGGAGGATTTGCTTGAAACACCCTTTTTTAGGTAATCAGCAAAAACGTTAGATTTTTCTTCATCGCTTCGCGCCCAGTTTCCGAGAGAGTTGGCGAATCGGATTCTATGGGGGAATTTAAACCTTTGCTAGCGTTCCACAAGGATAAATGGTTTTTGCCATTTGGACATAGGTTTTGATTATAATTATGTTGCCTGACTTTGGTTTCTTTGCTTAATGCAGATCTAAGTCTCCTTTGGGCTTCCTTAAATAAGATTTCGCTAAAGGGGAAAAACTTAGTTTTCTATGTCTCTATTTGTAAGTACTTTATTGGATGTGTAAGTTAATTTGTGTTTAGGAGTGAAGTATTCTGCTTCTGAAATCGGAGTTAAATTTAAAACCGAGGTTGCGTCCTCAATATGAGACTTACACTTTATCTTGTAATTTGTGTGTATGTGTGAACTAATGTACTTTTTATATTTGAGCCAGTATCGTTACTGAGGAGCATTAAGTAAACAAAATATAACTGGAGAATGGTCAGAAGACAAATCGCAGCTAATGTATGTTGAGATAAAATTTCTGCACATGCCTTTGGTTACGGCCAAGTCTATTAGGTCTGGTATTTTATTGTTATCGGCAGGCCAATATGTTGGCTGCCCAGGAGAAATTACGTCTAATGCATTTTTTCTATTTAGAATGGAATTGTGGAGGTGTTTTCCTTTTGAATTACAGAGCCGTGAACCCCAATACGTGTGCTTAGCGTCTCCTGCTGCAAGAAATCTGTCATCTAAAGTTAAGAAGTAATCCGTGAATTGGGTCTCAGTAATATTGAGCGAGGAGGGCAGTAAACTGCCCATAAAGTTAAATTTTTTTATTTGTGCTGAAGGCATATTGATGTGGCTTGCATATAATTATGAGCATATGTACCTAAAAAATTGTGTTTTAGATATCTTCGTATCAAAATACCTGATCACAAGTAATGTTTACAACAAAAAAAACAAATATGATTCGATACCTATCATTCTTAAAAACGAACCTATTCCACTAACCGAATCAGCAAAATATCTCGGTATGCATTTTAACTCTAAACTAACATGGAAACATCATATTGTGAAAAAGCAGTTACAAGCTAAAGAAAAACAAAGAAAATTGTATTGACTACTGAATAAAAAATCCAAACCTAGCTTTAATAATATAATCCTACTCTATAAAATGATAATTAAAGCAATGTAACGACCCAATTTTCCCGCACGAAAAATTTGCAAAACAATAAACATAGGCACAAGCAGTAAACATCCAAAAACAATTTTGCAAGTAAAAATTTGAAAAACAATAAGCATGGGCGCAAGCAATAAACATGCAAAAACAATACTTGCACACAACAAGTGCATCACAACGGCAAGCATGGTGATAGCGGGAATAAAAGCGTCACCAAGTTCAGATCAAAAGGTATGTCTTTGTGAAATCGTTCTCTTTTTACTGTCATCATCGGACGGTACAGATCTTCTTTTTGGACCATGTAGGTGAAACACTATTACACCACAGAAGAACGAAAATCATAATCGGAGGATCAGCAAGGTAAAGTTACCAGTCTAGGAGCGTTAACAGTTACTAGATGGTGTTATGTATCCTTCTTCTATATTGTGTAATTTAATTTATTTATTTGGGTTTGAAAAAAATGTTATAAAAAATTTTTGTTGGCACTGATATATCTTGAATTTGTGCTGTTTCCACTATTTACACTTTTATTTCACTAAAATGTTATATATTTTTTCCATAAATCAAAGCGTTTGTTTAGTTTATTGTTTTTTCTATTTTTATAATTTTTATTAAAAAAAAATACAAATGTAATTAAATTTGTATTGACAATTTATTAAACAATCCCATTACAAACTTTTATTGTATATTCAATTTAATTACCACTGTTCTTCATAATACTTATATTGTTTTCACTATATATGTTTTACTTTATTAAATGAAAATAAATTTGTATTGACAATTTATTAGACAATCTAATTACAAACTTTTATTGTGTATTCAATTTAATTACCACTGTTCTTCATAATACTTATATTTTTTCACTATATATGTTTTACTTTATTCAGTATCTGTTTTATTCTTTTTTTGTTTTTTTTTAAAGAAAATCGTACAATAATCCGAATTGTCATCACCGCTGGCTAGATCCAAGGTTGAAAAATATCTACTGCGTCCTAGCTGGTCTAAAATTTCGTCTATTCTCGGTATCGGAAAGACTTGTTTTATTGTTCTTTCGTTCAGCTTCTTGAAATCTACCACGAGCCGCCATTTCTTATTTCCCTCCGCATCAGGCTTTTTCGGTATTATTGGTGAATTCCATGGCGATTTACTTAGTGTTATTATCCCACTATCCAGCATCTCTTTATCTTAGTTGTTTATTTCTTCCTTATGAGCTTCTGGTAATGGACATTGCCTTATATTTGGCGGCGACTGCTCAGAATCTGTCAATATTTCATGTTCTAGCACCGAAGTATGGGAGAGCCTATCCCTTGGCAAGTGAAAAACATCACTAAAATCCTTAAGAACACTTAACATTGACGATTTTTCCTCTCCATTGAGGTTGTCCTGTAAATGTACCGTTTTCATTAATAAGTCCAACCGAATTGACAAACTTTCGTGCTCTGTAAAATTAATATTTGGTATCCCAATTACATCATAAACTCCTAAACTGCTATATTCGAATTCAATGGATCGCAGTAATTCTACCTGATAGTCATTTGCATTCAAGACTCGTACATATCCTACACCACTTCGAACTTTTACAAGTGATTCTCCTACATACACATTTGGAAGAATATCCTTCTTATGTACCACCATTTCTCCAATTGTCACTCCAAATTTTAACGGAATAAACACCGCTGCACTCGCCGGGATTGTCACGCTAAATGCAGTACAAATCCACTTACGATCATTCGAGTCTATTAATGGAAAAATGGCTGTTATCTCACCATCATTTACAAACCTCAACTCCTTCTGGACTGTATCCAGTATTGAACGATTCCACAACTCGTCCCTTCCCAAAAGCCCGTCAGCTGACAATCGAGTTCCTGGAGGCAGGGTTCGTATTTGCTCACTCATGAGCAGCTCAGGCTCATGAGCAAGAGCCAATTCTTACGTGAGCCCAAAATTGGCTCATGAGCGTAAGCCCATAATTGGCTCATATTGAAGAGCTGCTCACCAGCGTGAGCCTTCAAGTTGCCCATATTGAAGAGCTGCTCATGAGGTCTCACGAGCAAAGAGCTCACGAGCTTAACTTTAATAAAAAGCGATTTACTAGTTTATTTGCTTTATTTATTTTTATAAACGTTATATGTAAAAATATATAATTTCATATTAAACGAAACAATAATTTGAATTTGAAAAACAAATTTATAAAATATTATTATTTTTCACAAATAAACAATAAAAATATATTTATTATTTATTTTAGAAGCTTAATTATGTCCATATTTTAGTTAGTTTAAGGTTATTAATATTTTTAATCTTTTTAATGACATGTTTTTACAAAAAAAATAATAGCAAAACCTTAAATTGGGCGCATAAGATCTCATGAGCCGCAGCTCATACTCTTGCTCACGTGCGTGAGCTCATTTATAACATAATGGCGGCTCTTGCTCGTGAGCGTGAGCTCTGTAGTTGGGCTCGCTCTTGAGCCTGAGCCATCGTATGAAAAGAGTTTTTTGCCGGCTCATGAGCCGTGAGCAGAATGAGCCGAAATGAGCCGCTCATGGGTATGCAAATACGAACTGTGCCTGGAGGTACTATGTGCATATTAAATGCTAGCTTCGGTATTTTCATATGATTTACTTCGATTGTCCCCTGGGTAGTCACATTTCCTCCGAAGGCTCCAATAAGTCCTTTCGCCTTTCCCCTATTTATTCGCGCAATGGTTTTTAATGCCTCCAACTTCAACAAACTAGTGTCCGCTCCTGAATCCACTAAAAAAACTAGACGGTTGTTTTTAGCCTCCTTACAGGGTATCACAATATATGCATCGTTAATCGATTTATCCATTTCTGTTAGACCATTATAAGATACATCAGTTTGCTGTGACACTTGAATTTTTCTACGCTTTGCCTTGTTTGCCTGCTTACTCGTTATTGTTGACAGATTTATTTGTTCCTCCTGCCGTATGTACTGATTGCCACCTGTGTCCCAAAACTCAAACCATTCCCGGATGCTATTCTCAAAGTGTTTCAGGGCGAAGAGATGCCCAAAACCTATGTGTGCATCACATTTATTCCCCCCTCTGCTGTGCTACCACCAGAAATTCTGATGTCCCGATTGGAAAAACAAAATGGTGGCATTTGCACATCATCGTGGAGAATTCTCAGGACTGAGAAAGATAACAATGGTGGGGAAACCGTTACGATCTCAGTGGACGAAAAATCCAAAAATTGGATAGTCGGTCAGGCAGGGAAGCTGTATCTGAACTTCACACAAATTCACGTACGTGTGAAGGGAGAGCCAACTGGACCCAAGAAACTGACGACAAAAAGGCCATTTACGACAGAGAAACCCAGTGACGTCAAGCAACAGGTGCCTCCATCCAAAAGGCCGCTTTCAGGTGATAGACCCAGTACCTCAAAAGCACAGGCAGATAAGCCAAGTGAGACGGTTAAGGTCACACGGGACAGCACCCGAACTGAAGTCGGACCCAGCACCTCAAAACAGCAGGGTGGCACACCGGTATCTAGCATAAAGGACCAGAAGCAAGGGCCAAAGAAACCAGCTTCAAGATCCCCTCGACAGGAAGCACCCACTCATGGGACAAAATTGCCCAAGTGGATGCGGAACGGTAAAGGACGATACCAATAAAATGATGAGGTGCCTGCAGGTTAATCTTCAACACGCCAAAGCTGCTACGGCGGTGTTGACACAGCGACTTCTATCTGAAAAGATTGACCTAGCCTTTATCCAGGAGCCATATGTATATGAGAACCAGATAAAGGGAATAAAAGGTAAGCTACTGTACGATCATGCTAGCCATGGTCGACCTCGTGCTTGTATTGTGGTAAGAGATGACATTAATGCTTTCATTATTCCACAGCACACCAACAAGGACCAGGTAGCAGCAATAATTTCTGTGGACACCCCAGTAAGTAAGACAGAGCTCATTGTCTGCTCATCTTACCTACCTGGAGACTCCCAAGACCTGGACTTCCTATCACTGAAAGGACTAGTAGACTACAGTGTTAAAAGCAAGAGGCAACTCATCGTTGGAAGTGACGCTAATGCACACCACACGATCTGGGGCAGCACCGACATCAATAAAAGAGGTGAGTGTCTATTTGAATTTATAACTGGTAACAAACTATATATTTTGAATACGGGCAATAAGCCCACTTTTATAAACAGAATCAGGGAAGAGGTATTAGACATCACCCTAGCAACACAATTTATAAAAAATTTTATCAAAAGCTGGAATGTTTCAGCAGAAACATCCATGTCTGATCATCGTCAGATTAGATTTGATATTGATCTAAATATGAAGGTAAGGGAATCGTATAGGGTGCCTAGGGCCACAGAATGGGATCTTTATACTGACGAACTCAAGGCCAATCTAGGCAGTAATAAACATACGATAAAAAATATTCATGATTTAGAAATAGCTGATGCTGCCTTAAGCACAACTATTATAAATGCCTACCATGGGGCCTGTCCGGTGAAAAATAAGACCGGCAACAGAAGTGCACCATGGTGGAATAAAAAGTTAGCCAAGCTAAGAGTCGAATCCCGGAGACTTCAACAAGGCAAAAACCAACGGTGAATGGGACAATTATAAAAATGCCCTCACCGCCTACAATAAAGAAATTAGAAGGGCAAAAAGAGAATCATGGAGAGGCTTTTGCTCAGAGATTCAACTCATGCAATAGCGCAAAAATCCACAGGGTTATCTCGAAAAGCCACACTAATCCCATTGGGCTTCTAAAACGACCTGATGGTCTTTATACCAATGACTGCAAAGAGTCACTTATACTTCTAACAGAAGTACACTTTCCGGGATCTACAATTTACGACCAATCAATCTCCCAGCTTAGTTCCCTGGTGACCAAAAGACCCAGAAACAATGACTGGAAGATTGCTCGTAAAATCTTCACTGAAGATAAAATTAAATGGGCGATCAACTCATTTTCTCCTTTCAAAGCACCTGGAGCAGACGGAATATTTCCAGCACTCCCACAAAAGGGACTAACTGACCTTGTGCCCTACCTCATTAATATCTTTAGAGCTGGGCTGGCGATGGGAATCATTCCCACTAATTGGAAGGAAGCAATTGTCAAATACATACCTAAAGGAGGAGGTAAACCTAGCGAACTTCCTAAATCCCATAGGCCTATAAGTTTGACTACATTTCTTTTAAAAACTATGGAGAAGATAGTGGAAAGGCATATAAGGGAAGAGTATTTATCTATAAATCCACTCCACGCCAACCAATACGCCTACCAACAAAATAAATCCACCACACATGCATTACTCAGTCTTACTAATAAAATACAGGAGTCTGTAGATTGCAAAGAATATGCGGTGGGATGCTTTCTTGATATTGAGGGAGCGTTTGATAATACTGATCACTCACATATCGAAAGATGCCTCCATGACAGAGGAGTAGATGATACGACACGCACATGGATAAGCAATGTACTAAGAAATAGAGTGGTTAAATCCACTCTCGGCAATGCCGAAATAAAAGCACATACTGTAAAAGGATGCCCACAAGGGGGTGTATTATCCCCACTCCTGTGGTCAATTGCAGTAGACGAGCTCTTGCATCGACTCAGTGCCAAACATTTCGAGGCACAAGGCTATGCTGACGATATAGTCATTCTTGTCAGGGGTAAATATGAAGACATGATCTCATATCGACTTCAACAAGCCCTGAACATCGTTAGTAGATGGTGCAGTGAAGTAGGATTAAATGTAAATCCTAAGAAAACAAGTCTGGTAGTCTTCACAAAGAAAAGGAAGAGAGTACTTTCCAATTACCCATTCCTAAATGGAGAAGAGCTATCATCCGTTACCCAAGTAAAATACCTGGGAATGATTCTAGATGAGAAGTTGACGTGGAATTCTCATATAGACAATGTCATACGAAGAGCCAGAGAGGCATTATGGACCAGCAGAAACCTCATTGGTAAGCACTGGGGCCTTAATCCAAAACTCAGCCTTTGGATGTACACATCTATTGCCAGACCAATTGTAACTTATGGGTCAGCTATCTGGTACAAAAAAGCACAACAGAAGACTGTAATAGATAAACTTCGTAAGCTGCAGAGATTAGCCTGCATAATGACAAGTGGAGCGATGAGAACTACCCCGACAGCAGCCCTAGAGGTTGCATTGGGGCTCCCCCCACTTCACCTACTAGTCAAAAAGGAAGCAATGACTTTTATGGCCAAGCTACAGTTGACTAGCAATCAATCAACAAGACTACTCGATAACTCCCTGTTAGGTAGGGAAATGCAAAGAGAGGAAGGACTAAATATCACCATATCTGACATTTGCTTACCTAAATTCAACTTTCACCAAAAGTTCCTAATACTAATACCAGACAGAAATGAATGGGAACGGAACATACCTCCATTCGCTGGAGACTACCATCTGTGGTACACGGATGGCTCCAAAACGATGGAAGGAGTGGGGGCGGGAGTATATGGAGTAAGACCTAAAGAGGAAATATTTGCGAGTATGAGTAAAAAAAACTCAGTTTTTCAGGCTGAAGTACACGCAATTGAATTATGTCTCAGGGTATATAAAGGTAAACCCGTCACGGGAAAAAACATATATATCTTTTCTGACAGTAAATCGGCACTCCTGGCACTACGCTCACCTCGAGTAACCTCAAAAATAGTGTGGGAATGCCTTCTACTTCTCAAAGACCTTGCTGAAAAGAACAGAGTCTACTTAATATGGATTCCAGGGCACAGCGGTTTTGAGGGAAACGAAAAAGCAGATGAACTAGCGAGAAAAGGTGCGGCCTCATACTATATTGGGCCACAACCATTCTGCGGTCCTTCGTGGAGCTTTTTCAAACTTAAAACTAATGAATGGTTGGAAAAAGCAGCTCAGAATGATTGGGATAATACAATTACCTGCAGACAAGCAAAAGAATCCATGCCGTTTCGATCAAAAGCCAGAACTAGGGAGCTACTTATGCTGAACAGAAGTGGCATCCGACTTGTCACAGGTTTTCTAACTGGACACTGCGGAGTTAAAAAACATTTATTGAATCTAGGTATTACTGGAGACGATAGCTGTAGACTTTGTTACGAAGAAGAGGAAACAGCAGAACACATATTGCGTCACTGTGATAGTCTTGCAAGACTCAGACTTCGCTACTTATCCATTGCCTATCCGCTTATAACGGAAGTAGGCAACATCTCTCCAAAGGACATACTGGCATTCTTAACTGCTACTCGTCTATGGAACTGAAGTGGGTATGTCACAATAATCCTCGAGGATGCAGTGACGCGGAGACTACTTCCCAACCCTTCTTGAGAAAAAAAAAAAAAAAAGAAAAAAAATGTACTGATTGCTCTTCGTTATTACTTCATTATTACTTATTGTATGGGGATTCCAGTCTAGTGTTCTAGACCGGCCGAATTTACGTTTCCCTGAACCTCAGTTAAACCTACTTGACAAAATTTTGCAATATGTCCCTCTTGTCCGCATCTAAAACAACGTATCCTGGCATTAAATATTCTTTCTTTTCCGTTTTGCTGAAATACTGCTTCCGTTCGTTGCTCTGCACCACTCATTACTTCTTGCCCTACATTTGTGTTAAAACTTCTACTCACTCGCGTACTACCCATTCTGCAAAAACTGTTCTGTTCGTGCCCTTTCACCCTACAAATAGGACAAAACAATCTTTCTAATCTTACAAAACACTGCTCTATGGTACGTCCCAATTTTTTACAATAACCGCACACTAATCCTATATGCGTTTCTTCCAATCCTTTAGATAAATTACATTTGGGTCCCTGCTCATGACCATAATCGCCACATTTTATGCAGTAGGGTGTGTTTCGCCTCACTATACAATTTGCCCACAAATGCCCAAAAAAAAAGCACACTTCATTTCAACATTCTTATCTGTATTTGCTAAATTAACGGTGTAGCACGAATCTTCTATTAACTCTTCAGCCATTTCTGCTACCGAAATTAATTCTTGTAGTGGCTTATCTTCTGACCCTATGAATGTGTGTTTTAGATTCTCACTCCTTAACCCCTTTATAAAATATCGAACCGATAGCCGTCTATATTCTTTTAATTATGATACAATTTCAATCTCCTTCCCTTGGTGCTTAATTATTTCCTCTGCCTCACTCAAAAACGTTCAACTCGACTTCCATAAAAACTAGCCGTTTCCCCCTGCCCCTGTCTGCATGATGTTATGTCTATTCTAATGTGTTCTAAACTCCTCTTCTTTGTATATGTCTTTTTAATTGCTTCACATAGGCCTCCCACAGTGATAAACTGTGCTATATGTTCGTATGCCGCTCCTACTAATCTTTGTTTGACGCAACTCACTATATGTTGCGGATCAGCATCTGGCAACGCTTGTTGCGTTAGCTCACACCCCGCTACAAATTTATGTACCTCCCCCCTCAGATCAGGGCCTTCTGTACCTGCAAAGTATGGCACAAATTTTTCCACTACCTCCATAACACCTACTATTAAAGACATTTCTCTGTAATTTCTGTTCTTCTCTAAATCAAATATTTTTTCTATAGGGTTTGTTCCCAGGTCTATTTGTAACGGGGTAGGTGTTTTCACCCTATGACAAATATCCAATTCTCTTTTAAGATTGTTAACGTGAACTGTTAACTTTTGGATAGCACAATCTTTTTCTTTACTATCACTAACTTTACGTGGGTCTGAACTATTACTTTGTTGATTTCTCAACTCTTAAATATGTTGCTCTGATTCCTCCAACAAATTTGTAAGTTCTGCAGCTCTTCCCTTGAGTTGCTCGTACTTTTTTTTCCAGCCCACTCTTCGCTTCTGAGAGCTCCTTTAATGTCTTTTCTAACTCAGCACTCTTAAGACACTCGACACTGTTAATTAGTTCATTAA